CCATCAATATTAAACAATGATAATTTAAATGTTTGCTATAAATGAATCAATCTGATATTGGCTGACTTAAGAAGAGTTGTTTAATCAATAAATACTTATTTTATTAGCGCATGCCATTGAATTGTTAAACATTGTTCATTTATCTTATCAAAGAACAAGCAAAGTATTCAAGCATATTTATGTCTCAAATGTTCGCATCTTGTTTGTTTTAAAAAAAAAATTAATGCAAATACCATTAGTTTGGGTACATTTGTTTATAAATGAATCAATCTAATATTTTTTTATTTAAAAAATGGTAACTTAATCAATAAATATATATTTTGCCAATCTATAAGATTGGATTTTTACAAATTATTAATTTATGTTATTGGGCAAGACCCAAACTATCTCGATGTATCCATCTTGATTGTATACATAAGTCCGGCTTCTTTTTTCTTATACAATATATTGTTTTCCTATAATATGATTTTAATATCTTTTACTTCTATTTAGTTTTCCTTCATTAATACACTATTCCTTTGTTTATCGGATTATATAGCATAGCACGTATCTTTTGTATGGATAAAAAAACTAAATAGCATAACACTTCCCAATTAGGACAATGACCATGCTTCTTCCAAGATGATTTCCCATCCATCTACCGTATAAAAAGCTTTTTTTTTAAAAAATCCACAATCTTAGCTCTAATTTCATCATCTAGCCACCCAACTTTATTTCCAACAAAATTTCTCTCATCATCAATCAAACCATTCCTATGCTGACTCCCAAACATCCTACTCTACAAAATCCTCACAATGTACCTAAAAAAAACTTAAAAATTTAGAAAATATGGCACTAAAAACCAAAAAAAAAAAAAAAAGGACAAAGCTTTCTCCAAAACTATAACAAAGAGACCTGGTTATAACTAAAAAACAAGCGAAACCTAAAGAAAACCACACTCCCACAAATTCATATACAAATAATTAAAACCACACCCCTATCTATATAAAGAAAAACATCCGTCATACAACTCAAAAAATATATATCATATTCACACACGAATCACAAGCCAAATAGGAACAGCACAAATATAACAAACAAACAAAACTAGAAAAGATATACACACTAAAAAATATTAAATAATCATACAAGCTTAAATAAAATATTAAATATACATATACATATACACACACACACATATATATATTTATATATTTACACACACATAGGTTGACAAACAAATAAAATATAACAAACAAACAAAAAGCAAAAAAATGTAAACACTAAAAAAATATTAAACCATTATATCAGCTCATATAAGATACTAAACATATGCACACACACATATATTAGAAAATATATCATATAGCTATATCTATATAATAATAATACAAATTCACTACAACTTTTAGTAACATAAAATAAGTCACGTAAACATCAAACAATAACTATTTAAAATTTTTCATGCAAATTACCATGATTAAACTATAACTTTCATCTACAATCATTTCTATTTCTTATAAAAAAAAAATTATATGCATCAGCTTACTTTCAATACTATCCATGTATCAATAAACTATTAATACAAAATCTCTCAACTCTTGAAATCAATATTATCCTTTACTTAATCAATCAAATTCATTTGTAACTGAATCAATAGCATGTTCACTCATCCAAAAAAACTTGTTTAATTAATAAAAAAATATTTTACCAACCTATAATATCAAATTATCCCAAATTATTAACTTATCTTATCACACAACACCCAAACTATATCAAAATTTGCCAAAAAAAAATATCTGCTATCAATGTATTTCCCAACAACCTTTCCATTGTTTTATATCCTTTCCATAAACTTTGACGCTGCATCAATATACATTTTCTCATCCAAACTATCCGAATTGTCATAATATCATTATTCTAAAATACATAAAACACCAAGACCCAAGCTACAATAGATTATAATGGTTTCAATGTAATTCTTCACTTGATTTTGCATCCTATTGATTTTTAAAATATAATATATATTCCATTACTTTAAATAACATTTACTTATTACTAGATTGAAATCAAAAAAATAAAATTTTTTAAACGAATATTATCTCCCAAATCTTCAAAACAGATTAATTTAAAAAAACCACAATACAAATGACATCAGCTTGACTAATATCTGTTTATAAATAAATCAATTGATATATCATTGGTCCACCCATTATTCCAACTTCATTATCATACAAAACACTCTAAGCCTACATTATTAAATAAATCTTACGTTACCCTAAAATACAACCTGAAATAATCAATAACGGGCAACCCGCGGAGGCCGCGGGGCACAAAGCCTAGTAATATACTTACTGAATGATGAATCTACTTGATATACGCTTCTTCAATTTGTCGAAGAATGATGAATCTAAAACTCATGAAGTTCTCCATTATTATTTAGAAAGAATAGAATTCCTACCATTTTGCATGAGAAGGATAGTTAGAGCAGGCATCTTTTGGAGTCTTAAAAATAATTTACTATCTCCATTATCGAGCTGCTTCAGGACCCAAAGGGCTACCTCGAGACCATCCGAACCAATCTCGAGGGGCTTTGATGTTGTACGTAAGTTGGTGTTAGAGAACTACTCCTTCAGTTAGACACCTAAATTGATGCCAAAATAATTTGACAGCATTTTCACCATTTATAAGCGAGCACTTCTTTTTTTTTTTTTAAAGATAAAAAAAAAAAAAAAGGGCCAACGTTGTTGTTCAGTAATTCAAAATAAGCTTGCCAAGAAAAAATTTAGCAATTAGAATTTCTGGATTTAAATTCCCTTTCCTTCCCTCGCTTATTAAATTTCACCATTGCCGTGCTTAAAAAACAAATAAATGAATAAATAAAATAAGGGTTAAAGTGTCATCAGGTGGCTTACGTATATTGACTTTGATCCTATCTTCAATGATAATTGTTAGGGTTAATTACATTTACCTCCCCTGAGGTTTGATCATATTACCAATTAATCCCTGTAATTTGTCCAAATAACGGTCTCACCCTTTGAATGATCAAACATTTAACAAAAACCCCCTTAATACCGAAAATGCCCTTATTGAGGCCATGTTGCATTAAAAAAAGAACATATTTTTATTTTATTAACCCTGAAGCAATTCAAAAAAATAGAAAAAAGTTTTTGCTTATTATTTTATAAAAACCATATATTTGCTTCCATAAATAGTTTTAAATCAATATTTATTTTAAATCTTAAAAATAAATATTAAAAATTAGATAAATTGAAAGAAAAATAAAAAAGAAGCAATTATTTTAAATCCTCAAGTATGGTTTGAATTTGTGGTTCAAGGCATGTTGCGGAGAGCACAAGGCATGTTTTCCTCAATTTGAACCATACTTCAGGAACTAAAATAATTTCTTCTTTTTTTATTTTTCTTTCAATTTATCTATTTTTTAATATTCATTTTTAAGATTTAAAATAATTATTGATTCAAGACTATTTATGGAAGTAAAGATATGATTTTTATAAAATAATAAGCAAAAACTTTTTTCTATTTTTTTGGATTGCTCCAAGATTACTAAAATAAAAATATGTTCTTTTTTTAATGCAACATGGCCTCAATAAGGGCATTTTCGGCATTAAGGGGGTTTTGTTAAATGTTTCATCATTCAAAGGGTGAGACCGTTATTTGGATAAATTACAGGGATTAATTGGTAATATGATCAAATCTCAGGAGAGGTAAATGTAATTAACCCTAATTGTTAAGGAAATTAAGTGACATTATGAAAAGAGTAAAAGTATAAAGTGATACTATTAAATTCCCCTTTCCTTTCCTCAAATTTTGAAAAAACTTAAATTCTGTCAAAAACTTAAATTTTGAAAAAACTCAGATTCAAATTCTTCTTTCCTTTCCGTTTCTTTCCTCGCTTATTAAATTCCACCATTGCTGTGCATAAAAATTAAATAAATAAATAAATAAAATACGGGTTAAAGTGTCAACGGGTACCTTACGCATATTGACTTTGATCCTATCTTCAATGATAATTGTTAAAGGAATTAGGTGACGTTCCGAAAAGAGTAAGAGTGTCAAATGATACTATCAATCTGTCAGAAACTTAAATTTTGAAATATACAAATATACGTAAATACATATACCCGTGCACATATATTTGCATATACCTACATATATTCATACATATGTGTGTATGCTCAAGAGCAACGTTAAAGATGGATGGCATTATTAGCAATTCAAATACCAAAGTTCTGTCAAATGAGATTTTGAATGGCTAAATTAGCAGGTGAATATAGTAAAGTCAAACTGCAATCTGCCATCTAATTTACTTCTTTTCATTACAGAATTGCTGCCATGATAAACAGCCTAAACATGATTGTAAACTCGATTCTCATTTTTGACAAAATTGCTGTTCGTAGACGACAATTTATCTTTTCATTACAGAATTGCTTTCTATATAACGAATAGTAGTAGTAATTTGAATGTCAAGCCTCAACCCAGGGGATCAATGCATTGTTCTTTACGGCTTTCATATCTGAGTCAATGTAGATCGAGTATGCCCTTAAATTTTTTAACTTTTCATCTCAGGAAACTATTTTACAAATTAAGATTTATAAACATCAGACATCCTCAAATAAAGAGTAAATCATATATACAATGACAATATATACACCATCACAGTTAAATACATGACACATGAGTAAAATTTGAATTTCAAATTTAAATTCAGATGAACTGTCGTGGGTTCAAAAATAATGATATATACATTGTCAGTGTATAAAAGATTAATCCTAAAATAAAAGGCAGTAATAAGCAAATATGGTAGATTCCCATTCTAGCAAATATAACATGGGCAAGATCGTCTTCAGCAGTGAAGTGGTAAAGAGAATATATATATGACTAAAAAATAGCATATTTGAACTTCATGGACTGGTTCAAGATTTCATAAATAACTTAGGGACCATTTAGCAATTTTTCCAGATTATTTCTTAATAACTTGTTAACGTTATTGGCCTTGATTTTCGCAACTAGTACCAAAATAGCAATTGTATTAAAACTTGGAAATTAGCAATGATGGGTGAAACTAATACTGACTCAAATCTACCCAATGCCACACCACAAACGCAGAGATTTCTACTGCAGAGTCGTATGACCTGTATAAATTGAACTGTGCATTTAGTGCTATCTCCAAAGAGTGCTACTCCCATTGTTGCTTCTTTTCCTTCAAATCATCCAGAAAGCAGGGACAGAGTAAGAGCATTAATATTCATACAATAAGAGGTGGTGACAACTGGGGAGCAATCTGCAGCAAAATTTGAGTTGCTCTTCTTCCGCAAATTTACCACGTCTATCAGCCTTACTCTACCAGTTGCTCCATTCTTCATTCAAGAATTTCTTCATGAAGCCAGGGACTAACAGCACCAAAGTGCAGTTATCAGTTGCCCTGAGTCTCAGTTCTCACTTTTATTTTTTCTGAAAGTTCTACTACGAAGTGATTTCTTAAAGCAATCTGTAAGAGAGGGTAAGTTTTGTGTGATAATTTATAACATGAAAAAATCGAGTAAATCACTCAAAATTAATTGAAGGGAGCATGTTAAAATTGAAAAAGGTTATATCCTGTCTTATTAACTTAGTAAATATCCACTAACAACCACGAGATGATGACACTCAAGCATTACTAATCCAACACAGCAGTAACTAAAAATGATAAGAAACAAGAATTACACTATTAAGCAAAGAGAAATGATTTTCCCAGCGATAAATGAAGTCTGACAAAACTAAGCACTTGCCAATCAAAAAAGATAAATTTACCCCTCATTTCTATCAACAGCACCACTGTTTCCTCCGTCATCTTCACGCCTTCTTTCAACCAAGGTGCCAGCCTTCTTGTCACCACAGCCACCACTCAGCAATCTGCTGAAAAATTGCAAAATCCCCAACCATCAGCCTACGCACTTCCCCTGTTCTCCTTTTACTGCTATCATCCCAACAAATGGAAAGAAAGCACTCCATGTGCCCGATTCAAACTTTTTTTAAGAAGCAAGTCAGAGGATTTTGAGAGATCATTAATTGGTTTTGCATTATCAGTGGTAATCCAAGAAACTATAACAACAACAATGAGGATGGAAGAGGACAGGAGGGAGGGATAAAGTACAGAGCAGGTGAGTTCCAGAATAGTTCTGTTCTCATCTTTCTTCCTTTTTTTTTAAAAGAAAAGTTTCTTTGTATGCAACATCATGGCAAAGCTGGCAGCCACACATGTATCAGCACTTTTCAGCAAAGCATCAAGAACTTTTCACTATCGTCACCATGTATAGCAATTGAGCATTCAACACCACCCAGAAAAATGCTTTATCACTAAAATATGTAGTTGCAAAAGGACTATGCTCCCCCCCACCACCATAATTAACTGCATTACCATTTTTAGGACACAAGAAAAGCGATAACAGTCCAGAAAATTGCCACAAATCATGATTGATCACATTCTCAGTATTACTTAACATAACAGTAACCAAAGATGTAAAATGTGTATATCTCAGAAAAAGCATCAAAATCAATCACAAGTTATACCTTATTCTCCCCTGGATCTCAAATTTGGACCGCAACACTTGCAAGATGAAACAAGCAAAACAATTGCAAGATCTCCACCGAAGGTACAGTTCAGTCAAATTCCAGTCTCCTGCCGCAAAAATATCAAGCTCAAACCTTGATCATTGAGAAACATAAGGTTAATATCTCATTTCCTCTTATAACAATAAAAACAAGGGAAAAAAAGTTGATCCTCTGGTAAAATTAAAATATAATATGACTTAACAGTATTAATTACAAACAAAATATCACGAGTACATACTGAAATGCTGGTTGTTCACCTGGAAGTAAAAAGTACTGAGATATTGTCTTGCCTCTATCATTTACTTTACTTGAACTCCATTTATGAATTTTAATCTTCCCCATTGATCAGCCATGTTACCCAAAAATGGCTGCATCAACACCTCAATAAGATCCAACTCAAACAATTGAGTGCATGCCATAATCATAAAGACTCAAACCGACAAAGAAATTAAAACTTATCATCAGGCATAAAACCCCGTTGCAACATTTCATCATGGAACCAAGCAGCCTCCTTGAAGTTGTCCAATGATACATGCCCATTAATTAATGAAGTATACGTGGCTCTATCAGGATTTATGCCTCTTCCAGACATTTTCCTATATAACATGTTGGCTTCTTGCATTCTACCTAGTTTACAAAATCCATCAAGCATGACATTGTATGTGATAACATTAGGCGATAGTCCTTGATTTTCCATCTCACTAAGCAAGTCAAAAGCTTTGTCCATATTCTCCTCTTTTATATATCCATTTATAAGAGTGTTATACGTAAAACAATCAGGAAAAACTCCTTGAGATCTCATCTGACCAAGAAATTGACATGCCTTTTCAGTTTCACCATGCCTACAATAGCCTTTGATAAGAGAGTTGCAAGTCACAAGAGAAGGCTGGATACGTGTATCAACCATCTTCTCCCATAACCTAAGAGCATCAGATATAAAGCCTCTACTGCAAAACCCATTTATAAGAATACTGTATGTAATTAAATTAGGTAGTACGTTTTTTGTGATCATTTCATCTCTTAATAAGATTGCTTCCTCTATTTCACCTGCCTTGCAGAATCCATCAATCAAGGTGTTGTACGTCACAATATCCGGCTTGAGATTTCTCTGAAGCATGGATCTGAACAATGTCAATGCTTTACTCATATTACCATCTTTGCAATATCCATTTATGAGTGTCGTGTAAGTATAATAATCAGGAAACACTCCCCTTTCAAACATCTCATTTAGAAGTTGATCAGCCTCAGACAGCATCTTCTTATTGCATAGTGCGTTCAAAATAGTATTATAAGTTACCACATCCATAAGGCAACCCTTCTCCAGCATTTCATCTCGGATCCTCATAGCTTCCAACATTGAGCCATGTTTACAAAACCCACCAATAAGAATGGTGTATATCACCTTGTCTGGTATGAGGCCATTGGACTTCATATCCTTATAATACCCTAATGCACGATCAAGTAGCCCGACCCTTGAAAACAAAGCAATCAATGAACTATAACTAACCAAATCTGGAATAACACCCCGATGCAACATTTCACTGAAAACTGATTCAGCTTCTGACAAATTACCACTTCTACAACACTCAGCCAGCAAAGAGTTATAAGTAGCAGTATCTGGACTCAGCCCAATCTTCACCATCTCATCTAAAACTTGCGTTGCTTTTCCATATTTTCCATTCTTACACAAACCATTAACAATACAATTAAATGTCAAAAGACATGGCTTGAAGCCCTCGGCCGACATTACATTCATCAACCCAAACGCTTCTTCCAATTTCCCTTCACGAGAATAAGCATTGATCAAAGTATTATACGTTACACTATCCGAAAAAATCCCTTTCTCTTCCATTTCAGATAGAAATCCCTTCACTGCATCAATCTTTCCTTGTTTACACATCGCATTAACCATTATATTCAACGTATAAACATTTACCTGAATCCCACATCTAACAATTTCATGATAAACCTCCCATGCCCAATCAATCCACTCAATCTTCACAAGCCCTCCTAGGAGACTATTACAAGCATTAATACTCACACAAAATCCCCTACTTTTCAACACATGAAACGCCTCAACAGCTTCTCTTAACTTCCTAGCTTGCACATAAGTTCTAATTAACAAATCAAAAACACGTAAATCTGACCCAAAATCCTCATAACTTGAGACCAGAGAATCCACAATCTCAATGCGCGAAACACCACTTTTCCTAATCATCCTAAGAACCAATGCCTGAGCATCTGAAACCCTTCTACTCCTAACAAGAACATGAATAGCAGAACTCAACGAAGTCGAAGAATGCTTGAAATTCGGGCAATTTAAGGATACCAAATCAATAAATCTCTGACCTACTTGCAAATTTTCTCGACATTTATGAAGAACTTCAGTAAAAATTAAGGGGTTTAATTCATGAAACAGAGAAGGGTTGAAACTAGCGGGTTTTTTACCTTGTTGCTTTAAACCCCATAAAATCTTTTCACTTAAGAAGGTATCTGATGATGTGGGGTGTGCAGAAGTTGAAGCAAAAGCAGAAGCTGCAGCAGAAGATGCCCTGAGAATTGGTTTCTTGAGAAGTAATCGTTGAGTTGCCATTGGAAACTTGCAAAGAGAAGATTTTGTGCAGAAATTATTGAGAAATTTTGAAATGGCTCAGACTTTAAAGAAGGCGCATGTTCTTGTTCTTATTGGTTCGGCTTCCCCGGTTTGACCAGCTGAGTGTAGACCGTGGAAGCCAATTACCGGCTCAGTCTGAATTGAGGTCCTGAGACATCTTTAGATTGCGAATTTTCTCGCTTAAAAAATTGACAATTCAAACAAGATCTTAAAAGTTAAAAAAAAAATTTGAAATTCATATTTTAGTGGGCAAATGACCAAAATAATCCTTCAATATTTTTTGAGCAAAATGGTCATTTGATTTGGAAAAACATCGCTCCTTAAATTTTTGCTATTGAGCCAATTTGGTTCTTCCACTTCAATTTTGGAAAATATCGTCATTTATCTTTAGGCCAATTTGGTTATTCAACTTTTAGTGTTGACTAGCTTAAGGACGGGTAAAATCATGAATTTATATATTTGATTACGGAAAAGAAAAGATAGCCCAAAAAACTTTAAAAAAAAATATAGATTGAGGAAAGGGAATTGCTTACAATAAAAAAAAAAAATTGCCCAATTGAATTGCTTTGAATAAACTTGAGTTAACTACTGCGAATTCTCAAAACACAGATTGTCCTCCTCTATTGTAAAATAGTGTAGGATTAGTGTCAAAGTATTCTAGTTTGATAAATAAAGTTGGAGTGGGATTTTTTTTATTATAAGCATTTTCTTCTTACCCTAATCTATATATTTACCGGTATTTTGGCTTTCTAAGGCCAATTTTAAAACTTGGATAGTAGTCAAAAATATGAACTGATGATGATGATTTTGCCCCTCCTTGAACCAATTAGTACAAATCAAACCGCCAAATTGGCACAATGATAAAGTCAAAGAGCAATATCGTCCCAAACTAAGGTGGAGGGACCAAATTCGGATAAAGGAATGTTAAGAGACGAATTGTACTAAATTAAAGTCCTAGCACCAAAAAAAAATGATTTAGTGGAAAAGTTGGAGGACAATTTGGGTACTTTGTCAAATTTTTTGTTCATATACTTTGTTGCACGATGCAGGTTGCATGATGTGAACCATCCAAGTTTGCCTCATACTCTCTTGGCATCTACAGAACATGCGCTTGGAAGGAGGATGAAATCCAAATTTCATTAAGGCATCAGGAAATGAATTTATTGAGAAGTCTCCTCATGAAAATGGAAACTTTCAGGGAAATTATTGGAATGTGCGGATTCCAAACAAGCTTGGAAGAAATCAGAATGTCTTTCCCCTGGGTTGGGAATGTTGATGGTCGTCTCTCTTCCAAAGAATGTACATCTTCAATCGCATTCAAACGCCAGCCTGCATTGAAAAATAACTCCTCCGGTACAATTAGGATAAGCTAGTTGAGATTTGTCTGATTCCACAGTGCCACAAGTTCCACAGCCAGACCAATTCTCATACCAAAAGGAATGCTATTGCTGCCCCGAATTAGAAGCTGGGTATGATCTTCCACCAAACTGTGAACATTTAACGTTCTTCTCCAAGGTCCAGAGTCTTGAGGTTCGTTTCAAATCCTTTATCCCGAAATCACTTTCTGTCCTGCCTGTTCCGTGTTTATAAACAGCTGCCGCATATGTTAATGCATTGATAATTCAATCAAACTAATAACAAACTTTGTGAACCAGTCAAAGATTTGCTTAAAACTCGTGGCAGCTGTATAACTATGGGATAGGAGGTAATTTCGGGACGGAGAATTTGAAGCGCTTGAGGTTTGGGAGCTAATGTAATGGCATGTTCATCATGTTTGGCATATATTTAGCCGCTGTGAATTGAGTCCAAAGACTGAAGGAAGTACGGAACTTCCACCATAATTTGCAGCAGAAAACGGTCGAGATATTTTCTAGTCTGGAGAAACCTAACCCGTTTGAGAGTACCTTCTCAAGAAGTGGCAACAATTACTCCTCCTTCTCCTTTCCATTAGAAGATCACAGCCTACATAAGCGAAAGGAAGATGCTTTCTTTGAATGTCTGTAATATGAGTAAGCAAATGGGCTTTAGCAGAACTCAATCTAGATGTAATAACATAAAAACTTTTTCCATTGTTCAGTTGTCTGACTCCATCCTCTCTAATACAAATTTAGATATCCATCAAATGTGATATAGGAATAGGTCTACAATCTCTTGGCAAAGCAAAGGATGAGATATGACCGCTTGAAACCAAAGAGCTTAGGCCCTGACTAAGGGCTTTGGAAACCAGAATGAATAAAAAAAGGAGATAGGGTCTCCTAGCTTGAGGCCACAACCAGCTTGGAAGAAACTATTTGGTTTCCCATTGACAAGAGCTAAAAACCAAGCTGAAGAGAGATTGGTGAAAACCAATGAGCCAAATCTGAAATCAAAACCAAATTTTTTTGAAGTAAAATCAAAAGAAAACTCCATGGGACTCTGTCAAACGGTTACATCATATCTAGCTTGAACAACATGTTATGACCCTGAGTTTTTTTATTTTAATCAATAGATGCCGCCAATTCTTGAGCCAAAAGAATATCTTAAGATATTTCCATCCATGAGCAAAAGCTGATTGTTCTTGAGATGTAATCGACGATAAGATGGACGTTAACTAGCTGCTCAAAATCTTTGTAAAGATTTTATTAAGAAAGGTGTAGGGGCTAATTGGTCTAATACCCACAAAGATTCTGCCCTGGCCTTTTTTGGGATTAAAATAATTATATGTGATACAATAGTGTCTCGCAAACAATCTTCGATCATATATGTTTGTTTGGATTGTAAGTTATTTAAGATATTTTTATTGTAATACTTTTTATGATGTGATGTATGTGAGATAAAAAAATAATTGAGAAGATAAAAAGGTGTATTGAAAATTGTAATGATGATGTAAGCCAATATATTTAGAAAAATAATCAGCTGTCCAAACAAAGTTACATCCCATTTCAATTTTTATTTACTGAAGATATTGTTTGGCTTATGAAAGGAAAGAAAAGTATCACGTCTTAGTTATGATTTTACATATAATTTAACAAAGTCTAATTTACAAACATATGTTAACACCTTACCCTCTTTTTGATTTTGTGGTTTTATATATTTATCTATTTATTCTCATAAACTCTACAAGATAATAGTAGTTCAAAATGAATCAAATATTTTTCATTTTGCTCTTTTTTAGCGGAATGATTTACAACTCCAAAATATAAAAAGAAAATTTTTTGAATAATAGTAAAAATTAACAAAATATTTAATATTTAAAAGTCTTACCTAAAAACGAAAGTAGGACATAGGTGATAAGGTGGTACAAAGATTGTATTAAGATAAATTATATTAATAACTAACATGGAAAAATTAAGTATATTTTAGAAAATTTTAATATGTTCATTAACCTTGGTTTCCTTTTCTTTTGTTTCTGCCCACTTTTGGATAGAAAGCAAGCGACAAAATATAACTGGATCTTATCTCCTCATTTCTCCGCCTATTTTTTTTTCTTTTCCTTCTAAACAATCAGTCTAAGTATCAAAAACTTTGGGTCTGTTTGGAAGCTAGTTTTTTGGAGAAGTTTTTTACCTACAAGTTTTTTAACAATTTTTGCTACAGAAACCCCAAAAAACCTTCTCAAAGTTTTTTACCTACCCACTTCAAAATACCCAAGACACAAAAAAAAAAAAAAAAATCAACACACAAAAAAAATTCCCTTCCCTTTTTTTCTTCTTCCACCCCCATCCCAACCCACCACCACCACCGATGTCAACCACCACCGCCGGTTCGTCCCTGGCTTGTTGATGGCTAGCTATGGAGATGCGCCTGGTCTTCTTTTTTTTTCCCTCTCCTCCTCTTCCTCCCCTACCATTCTCCCCTCATCTTTTTTTGCTCTTTGCGTCTCCCCAATTCCTTCCCCCACTTCTCTGTGAAAAAAAAGAAAAAAAAGAAAGATGGTGAGAAGCGGGAAAGTGAACAGGGGAGGCGGGAGGTGGCGGGGGGGGGAAGGAGGGGGAGGGGGTTACGTGGTTCGGAGCTAGATATTGGTCCGAGAGGTTAAAATCTCTCTTTTTAAGCTCACACGCTAAGATTGAACTCTTATTGCTATCGCTGAAGCACTTATTTAGTAAGATTTTTCTTTTTGTTTTACACTATACTAAAATTAGTAAAGCCAGAAAATATGAAAAAAATTTGGATGCCCAATGTTCGAGGGATAGAGACCAAAATGGTCTCTTTTGAATACACGTTAGACAAAACAAATTTAGCAATCAAGGTGAAAATTTGGCCCTTGATGATTTAAATAATAATTCTTTTTCTTAAGTAAAATGAAAAAAAAAGAAAATTTTAGTCTGCACAATGTTTTCTAAGAATTGTAGTAATTTTTTTTTTTTTACAATGCAGAAACTTCCATTTCAAGTTTAAGATGGAAAAATATTGAAACGGAAAAAAAATTGAAAGAAATAGATTTCAGTGCATACAAGCACAAAAGCAGTGGAAAGTAGTGAAAATACTCGACTTTGGAAGCACATATAATGCTGATATGTACCTTAGGCATAAATATATCATCACATCCTTACTTCTGCAATTTTTCTTAAACGTAAGAAACAAAATTTTTTTCTTTATGATCTACCTTACTTCTGCAATTCGTAGAATCCTTCATATACTAATAAAAAGTAATTCGACCTTATTTTTTGACAAACTTTTCCTCATTTCTTCATATTTTATAAATGTTCATCCAATGAAAAGTTTGAAGATAATTACATTTAATATGAAAATCTTTGAATGAGGGGCCGAGTAATTTTGTTATTATTCTAAAGTTGAACTATTCATTTATTCATTTATTCGCAAATTAGGATTTAGGTTGCAAAGGTGCATAACTTAATATTTTTAGGCTAGAAACAAGAATCAGCGATATTTACACTATGCCCTTCCCCTAATCAAATTGATGGCTAATAGGATACCGTATTGACAAAAGACCAAGGCCTCAAATGTTCCAGCAAATACAAAGGACCAAGACCTCAAGACCTCAAATTTTCTAGCAAAGAAAGAGACTTCACTAAACTGGAGAAGTATTTGATTTAAACTCTTTACATGTAGAATGTGCAAATTTTATTGGTAGTCACGATCAGAACTATGACAAATATGTCAAACTTATAAGCATTGTAAGTAATTGCAATTT